TCACTTTTCCTTTTCGGAGCACACACACTCCGGTGCTCCGCACACTCACTTTTTTATCCTTCACACACACGTATACATACAGTACTGGCCAAAAAGGTATTCGCAAACGATTTTTTGAGAGTAACTTTGCTGAAACTTAAGGGATCGATCTGAAAATTCCGGCCCGTTACAAGTATGCGGTCATGTGTTTTCTATGAAATGAGAATTCAATATCGGGGTTTCTATACAATTACGGGATGAAAAGTTATTTTAGTCACTTATCAAACTGTGAAGAAATCAATTAAGGCGCCTAGAAAGCATTTATCCATCTGGAACGGAAAATGTCAGTGACACTAATATTCCAGCCAAAAGTTGATAAATTCGAAATGGAAAGTTTACAAAACATAGTAGATTTTATTGGATGATATCGAAACATTCTGAGCTTATTAAACAAAAATAGAGCTTCATTTTTGTAGTTGACAACTGTTTTGTACAAATTCATCCAAATGAGATAAATCGCTTGGAACCAACCAAGCGCCTAAATTTCCAGAAATAGCAAAGGGTCGTAGCACTTTCAAGCGATCTATCTCACTTGTATGGATTTGTACAAAAAAGTGGTCAGCTACAAAATTAAAGCTCTATTTTTGTCTGATACGGTCAATAATTTTCTGTTCTATCCAATGAAGCCTACTATATTTTGTAGGCATCCAAAGTGCCTATTTTCAAAAATAGGAAACATAATAAACTTTTAGCAGGTTCTGTACTTGTGAACCAGTGATCACATTTGCATTTAAAATGTGATCACTGATTCACAATAAGCTAACAAAGGGGAAAATGAAAAAACAGGAAAGGATTATTTTGAAAGTTTTTTTCAACGCTTTAGGTTAAAACTGATAAATGGGTTCAAATATTTATCCGATGTTATAATTGAAAATTGATAAGAAATGGGTAACGTGATGCATTATTTAGGCATCCTCTCTTAATACCTACGAAACGAGGAATTGACTTGATGGAAAAGATTCGAAATGACAGGGAGAGAAAAAGATAAGACGAACATTTGTAAGATGGGCGGTATTTAAGGCAATACGGTTTCTCTCCGCTTGTTTTCCAATATAATCAATGATTTCTTCCTTGCGAATAGGTTGTAGGTTGTTTGAAAATTGTATTCTGATTCTGATTTTTGGTTGAAAAATAAAACAACAAAGTTTGATATGAAGAACTTGTTTCAGACCTATTTTATTATTTTTCTTTACATTTAGTAATATCAGGCAAAAAAGATGAGCTACCGTAGTCCTTTAAAATCACATTATGAAGGTTTTGACAAAAAATTGAAAATCGTTTTGACAGAATATTCAGATAGGAAAGAGTTCGCATGACTTCTGAACGTCAACAAGAATCAAGTCAAAATAAAAAAGAAATTTGGAACGAAGATTGTAGTTCTTAGGACTCTTTTTTTATGATGTTATGCCTTTTCCCATCAGAGATGTGGTCTTCAACAAGCTCATATAAAGTGCAAAGTTGTATTGAAGAGTGCAGAAACCATGCTCTGGGTTCATATATCACACGCTTTTGATCTGTTTGTATTCACCTCAAAAATAACCTCGCCACAATTAGAAGGTCTTCAACCAGTAAAGAAGAACTTGAAAAAAAAATGTTTTAACCACTTAATGTTTGAGCCTATTCAGTTATTGGAAGAAGTAGACCTAGTCTTTTGATTGATTCTAAAAAATCAATTTTAATTTTTCCCTGTGGACTACTTTGTTTTGACATTTCATACAAGCAAAAAAAATCACATCCAAGGCCTAAAATACTCAGAATGGGGATATTGTTTTCCTATTTAAATATTGAAATATATTTTTAATCGAAAAAAAAACCCATTTTAAAAACGAACAAACAACCTGAAAAGTCTAACTCGTATTTTTAAAAATATCAATAAATTGATACAATTATGCTGTAATTATATGATTTATGAAGAGGAAAGAAGGAATAAACGTTGTGTTATTCAGAAGAGCTTCCAGTGCCTGACTGCTTCTCTGCGTATACTCGCGCATCGATCGATAAACACACCCACGGAAAACACTAACTTGCCGGAATGCTTCCGCGGACCTAAGAACATTATAGGACACTATTTACTAATAATTGGGCTGATCGATAGTAAATGTTTCAGGGAAAAAAAGATATTTATTATCAATAGATCGTCAACAATGGGCACGACCACTCAAATATTTTTCGTTCGACAACTTTTCAGAGCGTAAATATGTGATTGACGAAACGAGAGAAAAAGAGATGAAACGACGAGAGTTTGGAGGTCAACACTGCCCAATGGGCGATTCGATTCAAGAGGCAATTAGTACCAGGAAATATCGAGATACCATCTCGATAAAAACACGTTGGCCGGTCGGTTTAGCCAAATACCCTCGAATACATCTGGACGGAATAAATCGGCTTATGGACTATTGGGATGCCCAATACGAGAGCCAATGCAACACATGCACCTGTTCTGCGCTTTTTAAGAATTTCGATGAGCGGAGTTTTACAGTTTGTGGATCTACAAAACGAAGAAAACGTGTCTTCAACGGTAATCCGAACATCTTTATTCGACGAAGAAAAAGAAGCTATAAGAGAATATCGCAACATTGAGAAGAAATTCGTCTACAATATTACATGAAATAAGGTCGATATCATCTACAAGTCGGCGACAGTCTTTCCCTTCTCCTCGTAGAGCTTAGCCAACTCTTGTGGGCAGGTGTGCATGTATCCCTTGTTGGCGGCGCAGATCTCCTTCATTCTGGTGTATGGATCGTAGTTGCTGGAATAAAAAATATTGAAGTTTATGAATTTCATGAAAAGAATGCAATTTCGATCATTTAGAATATTGTTTTTGTTTTGAATAATATTCAGAACACTAAAATGTATTTTTTTCAATTGGGTGTTGACTCAAAAATAGGTACTTCGAGGAGACTTCAAACTTACGCGAAGAAGCGCTCGTATTTCTCGTGTCTTGGCTGGACGTATCCGAAGAAGAAGGCGGCAGTGGATCCGACAGCGGCAACCAAGGAAACTCCGATGGCGCGACGTCCATATTGATGGAGCATGTTACGAGTAGCGGAAGCGGCAACCATCCTGAAAAAAGATTAAATGAAAAACGGATAAAAAGCGATGTTTTTTTGCAGAAAGGAGGTACAGAAAAATAACAAAAAGATTCAATGAATAACACTATGCCTGAGCCGATTTTCTAGAATTTTCGGAATTCACAATAAGATACAACTGAAATCACGGATATGAAGATGTTCGGAGGCCCGAATCGCCCTTTCCCAATGAAAACGTGAGGAATAAAAAGAGCGCAAGCGGGATATCGGAGTGTCGTTTGAAGTGTATGCAACCTACTTGATACAATGGGAGGAACTACAGATAGAACTCATTTGAGAGAAACACAAATTAGCTAATGAAAAAATGTATTTTCGAATTTAAATCCGAAAATAAAAGCATCAAGCTCGGCATGAGCAGGGTTTGACAATGAGCAGTCCAAATACTTTCGCAAAAGGTACGGTCCGCAAAAGTGTGCAAACACCCGATGACACCCTCACGTCCGAATGCAGAATTCGTGGGTGGCTAACGCAAACATAAATCAATAACTCTCGCGGATTGTAGGTCTATTTAATCACTATTGCAGAATTTCAGGTCCTTCTTTATTTTACCGCTTCTTCGTCCTTATATTTTACTCATTCGGTACTGTCTGTTCTATTCCACTCTTTCATTCACTGTCTTAGTCCATTTCTAGTACTCCTTCTACTTTTCCTATTGTGACTGTCTCTGTGCTGATTCACTTCCTGTAATATTGTGCTTTTATTCTTACTTGATATTCACCAAAAATGCAGAACTCTCTAATTTCTGACTGTTCTTCCAAGCTACATCAGTATTCCTTCAGCTCGAGATGCAAGAAGAACGCGGTAGATCTGCATACAAACCGAATTGCAATGGCCTTTCCAGCTATTACAGGTATACCGTTTTCATTTGCATGCGTTTGTATCAAAAAATCTGTTTTAGAGAACGATTCGGAAGCCATTCTCCAGAAGTATACATGAACCTACGCATCTCTGGGTTTGACGACCATTTGGAGCGGGATGCCATCAAAAAATGTTTAACGCATGAATTGAAAAAGTTTGCACCTTTTGAAGTAATTTTTTTGCTCTTAAATGATTTATTATTGTTTTTTTCCAGATAAAAGTTGTGAAAAACCCAGAGGAAGATGAACGTCTCGCTTACGTCAATTTCGAACGTAACGACTGCGCCCGGAAAGTGAGATACAATTTGATGGAAAGATTGAAAGGGGTTCTCGGGGAAAACGTGCAATGCGATCCAGCCGGTATTCTTCGCGATCAGGAAGGAAAGTATATTCCGGACCGATTCAATCGAGCACAAGGGGACAGGAAGGATAACGGGTCCGGAGGATCTAGTGGGAATCGCAATCGGCCATCAAAAGAGCCTCAAACTTGGAGACTTAAGAAAGATGACGATGAAGCAACGCGAACTCTTTTTGTTGGTAATATGCCGTCAGATGTTAAAGAGCGCGAAATCCGTTCTATCTTTGAAAAATACGGAAAAGTTGAAGAAGTCGACATCAAGACCCCAATCAATACTGATGCCGCGTACGCTTTCGTCATGTTTCAGGTTGGTTCGATATCTCGTTTTCACTTTAACATTTATGATTTTTTAGACTGTGGATCAAGCTATTCGAGCTAAACAACACGAGCAAGACAATTCGATAAGAAGTCAGGGTTCACGAATGAAGATCGGCTACGGAAAGAGTCAAGTATCCAGAAAACTGTTCGTGGGAGGTCTAGGAGATTGGTGCCACACTGATACTCTACAGAAGGCATTTGGGAAATACGGAAGCATTGAGTCTATTGAGTTGAACAGTAGAGACCAATTCGCCTATATTCTCTTCGAAAGTACTCATGTATCCCAAGAAGCATGGAAAGCTCTACGCAACGTCTCGATTGCAAGAGGAACGCCGCCAATAGTCGTAGACTACGCGAAAGATTCAACTGCTCATTCCGAGAAACAACAATTCAGGAAACGAAGAGCTTCGAAATCGCCTGTTGGAGCAAACGTCCAACGGACTCCGCCAAGTTCCCCTAAAGATGTTGTTCGAAATTTCGAAGAGCTAGATGCCACGTATGCACCAACATGGAGTGGAAAGATGGCTTTGAAGAAAACCGACTATCCTGTGAAATTCTATCGTGTTCACGGAGCCGAACGTTTAGTTGTGAAGCTACTTCGAGACGAAGATGATGCTCCACTCAGATTACTTATAACGCAAAGGTTCGAAAGATTAATAGATCTTTAGTATAACTTTCTTAATTTCAGATTAAGCTTATGTTCGCAAGACCTGTTGTTCGGCAAATTAACATCCTGCAATTCGAAAGAAATAAGTCTTGGAGTAATCACTGGAAAGAAAGATCTAGACGACCTTCAGCCACTTGTCAATTACTTCACTAATAAGGAAGCGGCAGGTAAATTAGAGTTGTGAGACAGCTCAAATTATTTATTCTTCATTTTCAGGTGTTGTGACCGTACCTGGAGGCATACTGTACATTTTCCCATTCTGCGAGTTCGCTCTCAAACTACTCGCCGAATTCTGTCCCCAAGTTCATGTGTTCAACGAGAACTGCCCATTCTTGCTTGGCGCTCTTGCCGTTCGATCAACTGATTAACACCCCAACCAAATTAGATTATACATTTTGCTAGTATACTTTTACTCACCATTTGCAAAACTTTCAAATTTGTATCATGTAATATAAAAGTATTAAGTTGGCACGAATAATAAATAATAACTGTATAGATACTGCCTCTTCAGTTTCTTGACTGTGTTCTTTTCTGTAAATATCTGAAAATATAGCGTTCAGTCCGAAAAAAATGAGAACTACAGATGGAAAAACGACGAGGACCACCTCCATGTCAATCTGAAGAAGGATGTTCGAATTCTGCAAAGATCAGAAAAGCCAAGAACGGGGCTCAATTATGCGGTCCTTGTTTTTCCAAAAGTTTTGAAGATGATGTACACGAAACCATTATCAACAACAACTTGTTCAAGGTTTTTCATATTATTCAGGTACAAAAAAATCGAAGCTGGTGACGAGAAACGCCGGCTACCGTTGCCGAAGGTCTCACAAGGAAAACTACCGTAACCTGAAAATACTTTTATTTACAGTATTTTTCCTAAAATTTAGGTTACGGTAACTGTGGTTGTGGGACTCAAGCCTATAGGCTAGCTGTGAAACGAGCGGTGACTTAGTGAGAAAAATTTGTAGATTCATATAGAAACAAAGAAAAAACATAAAAAAAAACACTGGCGAAATCTCGAAAAATAGCTTCCCATTCATTTCTGAAAACTTCTGTAATGTTCTCGTCTCTTTTTTTTTTAATTCCCGCCAATACTGAAAACTCCACAAAATAGCGATTTTTTCGAGAAAAAAAATTGTGTTTTTCTTCTATTTTTTCGCAAAATTTTCAGACCTTAGGATTTCTAGATATTTTCGAAGATTCTTTTTCGATTTTCCAGTTTTTTTTAAATCTGACAGGATGGTGTNCACGAAGATTACTGTAGATTACTGTAGAAAACCTTCTTTTTCGTAATTTTTTTCTCACGTGATTGCGTTCGTAAAAACAATAGTTGCAAAAGGCCGGGCCGGGCCGGTAGACAAATTTTCTCGGCCCGGCCCGGGCCGGCCCGCCTACCACAGTTGAAATTTTTCCAATGAAAATTTGGGTAATTTTTTGAATTAAAAAAAAAAAAAGATTACATTATTACCAATATTACAGAGTAGAAAGTAGTCGAAAAATAGGTCGTTTCTGTTTAAATTTTTGAAAAAATTCCAAAAATTTTTCCGGGCCGTCCCGAGATTTTGCAAGTATGAAAAAAACTACAAAATTGAAGGTTTTTTACAGTAATCTACAGTAATCTTCGCGAACACCGTCCTGTCGAATTTGAGACAAAAAATTTGAGCAAATTAAAAAAGAATTATCAAAAGTAGCTGAAAAACCTGAAAAGGTCTAAAATGTTTGTAAAAAATCGAAGAAAGAATCAATTGTTTCGCTCGAGAAGATTTTTGCGAGCGAAGGGCCCAAAACCCTTAAGTGATTGGATTTTTACCAACTGGTATTTCCTCCCCCAGAATTTCAGTGTCTGAGTGGACCACATTCTCTCTTCCACAGCTTCGATTTTTGCGAACCAGCATAATACAAACTGAATAGTTCTTAAACTTCATAGAAACTTTTTATTTTGCAGAGAGGAGAACGAGTAGCGATCGGAGCATCCGGCGGAAAGGATTCCACAGTTCTGGCGTTTGTAATGAAGACTCTAAACGATAGACACGACTATGGACTGGATCTTCAACTCTTATCCATCGACGAAGGAATTAAAGGATACCGAGATGACTCTCTTCTAGCAGTTGAAAAGAATCGTGTTGAATATGGCCTCCCATTGACTATTCTCAGTTATAATGATCTTTACGGATGGACTATGGATGATATCGTTGCTAAAATTGGTAAAAAAAACAATTGCACGTTTTGCGGAGTGTTCCGAAGACAAGCACTCGATCGAGGTGCATTCAAAATCGGGGCAACAAAGTTGGTGACTGGACATAACGCTGATGATATGGCTGAAACTGTTCTGATGAATGTGCTTCGTGGGGATATCGCACGACTGGAACGATGTACGAATATTGTAACAGGAGAAGAAGGGGATCTACCACGTGCGAAACCTTTGAAATACTGTTTCGAAAGAGATATCGTAATGTATGCGAGGAGTAATCAGTTGGAGTATTTTTACACAGAATGCATTTATGCTCCAAACGCCTACAGAGGATACGCGAGAAAATATGTGAGAGATTTGGAAAAAGTGCATCCAAGAGCGATTCTTGATTTGATTCGAAGTGGTGAGAAGGTTTCAGTGAAAAAGGAAGTTGAAATGCCAACGTTGAAGACTTGCGAGAGGTATGACTTTCGGTTTCTCACAAAAACAACAAATTTCACTTATTTCAGATGTGGCTACATGACAAGTCAAAAAATGTGTAAAGCATGCTTACTTATTGAAGGACTCAATACGGGAAACACAGATCTTGGAGTTAGAAAGTCAAAAAAGACAAAGAAAGTGATAGTGGAAACAGAAGGAGGAAAGAAGGAAGATGGTGGATGTGGATCTGGTGGCGGTGGTTGTGGTTGTGCTGGAGCAGCAGATGAAACTGAAAACGAAGAGACGAGAAAACGATTGAAAGACTTGCAATTCTAGATGAGATACTTACTGTGATTTTGTTTCTAACTTTTCTTGTTCTTGTTTTTGTTTGTTATGTTTCTCGTATTGATAAACCTGTTTTTTCTTTCAATATACATTTTTAAAAGAAATCGAGAACAACACTTTCAGACATTTTCGGAACAGAATTCTTAAAATTATTCCGACCAATTTCGGAATATTTCCAAAGTTTTTTTTTTCGGAAAAACAGCTTCTTGAACTACGGTATGTTATTATGCTTGCCTGTAAAGGCGCACTCGAACAGTTTCCCATCGGGCCGGGCCTACGAAATTCCGGAAAAAGCCCGGCCCGTTACAAGTATGATTTTACCGTTTTTTTTTGTCTGAAATTCGATGAAACGGTTTTCGTGAAGATCACTGTAGATTACTGAAGAAAGCTAATTTCCTTTTACACGGTCTCCCAGCATGAAAATTTTTGATTTGAAAACTAGAGAAAAAATGTCTCTGCGTCTCTTCATCTCTCACGCTATTTTATCTCGTACAATTTTTCACAGATTTAATTGGAAAATGGACGAACAGCTGAGAACGTCTCAAAAACGTTCAAAGATGGATATTTTCAAAAAAAAAATTTTGTGGGTGATATTAGGTTGATGCAAAAGTTTCTTCCGATTTTGAATGGTCAACTTTGAGAACTCATATCTTGTCAGAGGGACGGTTTTTCTTGGAGGATGTTTTTTTGTTGGATAGAGTATCTCATGGACTTGTTATATACATTTTGCCTCTTTCCTACTTCTTGTCGTTTGCGAGCAAGTCGCTTTCTTTCGTCCTACATCGTCTACACTTTCGAAACGTCATTTTATTTTTATTCCTTCCTAGTTTGAAAACTTTGATATCCATCAGAAAATGAAAGAAATAGATGAAGGAATATCTCCTGTTGTTCCTACCAGCAAACACTGCACCGATCAATTTGAAGCCAAACATTTTGGAGTCAAATACGAAACTCGGTCCCGAAGTTGGACTTGGACCTATTAAAGACTACTGTTGAAGCCGGTCCGTTTCAAACCACCCGTAAAATGTCAAAGGCATTGTTTGTTAGTCAACCAAGTATTGTGACCCGATTGAAGTCTCTTGGCAACTTCAATAACTGGGTCGAGTCGTACCCAATGTTTTGAAGAAATATGGTATGCATCCCCGTGTAGACATGTGCATGTTTCTCCTATCATTTCTTCGCACGTTCAATTGGGTGGATGATCTATTACCGTAGAGAAAAAGTGGTTGAGTCACTCTAACAATGTACGGAACGGTCAGTTGATTAACGTAGAAGAGCTAGATCTGGACGTCCTGGAATCTAATTTTCCTCTAAAAATGGGGATGCTATGTCTTCGGTGGTCTGTCAAAGGAGTGGAAACTGGGAACTTTCAGATGAATGTACCAATATAATTGCCACAATATATAGTTCATAATCAAAGAAATTGAATCTGGCAGTCGAATCGAAACAAGGAGAAAAGGGTTCTTCCAGCGCGACAATGCGAAACCACCCGTGACTAGAGGTATCAGCCAAAAATTCATGTCGTTTGGCTGGGCCATTCTTTTCCACCCTCCGTATTTTTCGGACCTTGCCCTTTTGGATGAATAGTCGTTTGGGACGCATACTCGTCATCTTGATAGAAAAAACTTCAATTGAAAAGATGACACAAAAAAGGAGTTGGATCACTTTTTCAATCGCATCCATCGTCGTTCTGGGCCGATGGAATCAAGGAATTACCGGAGCGTTGCCAGACAACTATTAATGCTTATAAACATTGTTTTCATAAATCTAGCACTATCTGCTTTGAGCAAAATTTGATCAAAAATTTTGCCGAAATCGGAAGAAACTTTTGCATCAACCTAATAGAAATCATATCCGAGATTGTCTGTAAGAAGTTTCAAGACTTGTCTCAAACTATCAAGCAAGATATGAAGCTTTGAAAAACCTTTTTTGGATTTTCCGAGTTTTCAAGCAACTCTTCTTGCTCTATAAGCAAATTAAGTTCCTATCATGTTAGAAAACATAGGAAATGAGATATTTGATTGCTTTTTGCAAAAAAGACAACCTTTAACCAACTGGAAATTTCCTCCAAAGTCCAAAATCGCTCAATGTACTACTGTTTGACCCCCTAACACCGGAACAAAGACGAAAATCAAAAATCGAAGATGGAGGAATTGTAGAACAATCCATTACAAATAGTTTGGTCTATTGATCATTAGTTAGATACCCGCAGAGTTATGCAGGATACAAATTTCAGTACAAAATTCCCAAAAACCCCCCGATTTTTGACACTTTCAAGATTTTCAAGAAAATGAGGACCTAAATCAGAAATCGAAGATGGAATTGTAGCAAATCTCTCTGTGGTATTGATGACGTTTTTTTTTCGTTTTTTTTTTAAATTCCGTAAAAACCTGATAGACGTAAGTACGGTTGAATAAAACCGGTTTTTTTGCCAGTCGGTGTTTAGTGATTCATAACTTTGCTCAAAATGCTCCAATTTTTATAATATTTTGTGCGGCTGATAGCTGAAGTCTTCGGTAACACAGCAAATAATTTTTTCCTCTAAAAATAGCTCAAGTTCGTACTTTTCTGTGATTTCCATGACTATAAGTTTCTATTAGTCAAAAAGAAGAGAGAAAGGGGGAGGCGCGTGAAAAAATAAAATTTAGCTAGAGTGCAGACAACGAGAGAACTTTTCCAAAAATTTTCACTCTGGGAGACCGTGCCTTTTGTAAAAAAAGGAAATAGTTTTTTCTTCATTTTGAAGTCATTGTAAATTTCAAAAAGGAATTATCAAAAAGTAGCTGAAAAACCTTTAAAAAGTCTAAAAATGTTTGAAAAAAATCGAAGAAAAAAAGTTTTCTCTCGAGAATTCACTTTAAATGGGAATTTTCGAAATTCCGAACATTCCTGTAACTCTTTGTTGTGGAATGTTCTTTGGTGTTCGTTTTTTAAATCGAACGAGAACTAAAGTCAACAAACTGATGTTTAGAAGTCTTGGTTTATTTTCTTTTTGTTCTTAACCTCCGTCTGATTTGGAAAAAATTGTGGGGGGGGGGGGATTCGGAAATAGATAGAAAAGAGAGGGAAAAACGAATGCAATGATTTGAGACAGTAAGAAAACTACAAAAAGCAAACAAGATTGAACATTTTTAGGAAAGTAAGAGCAAAGTGGAAAATTAGTAGAGAGAAAAGAGATGTGGAGTGATATGAAATACAAATAAGGGTGACAAAATGAAAAAGGCCAGGGACAGAGAAATATGGCAAAACGGATTGCTAGTAGTAAACGGGAAAAGGGAGGGAAAAAACTGCAGAACCTTTTAGGTCGTTTCAAAAATCAGTGAACAATTTTATACACGTGGATTCAAAGGGGGAGTTTGGAAGAATTGGAAATTATGCGAAAAGAGTGAGTGAGAGAGGACAAAGTGTGTTCACAGTTGTTGTTTTTTTCTGACGAAATACCAGTTGTCAATCCAATCAAAAGATAATAAGACTATTTCAGAAGTGACTACAATTGAAATCTGCGTTAGACAGAATAGAGAACTACTTTGAGAAGTGAGGATTTGTGTAAGAGAAATTAAGGAATGCCTCCGGATCGATCGACGCCAGAAGATTCTTGTCATGAACCGGTGTCAACGCAGCCTTCTCATTTGTGAAGTCGTCGTCGAAGTTGGAAGCATCCGAGTTGGATTTCTGAAATTTAAGTTAGTTAGGAGCCATTTAATGTCTGAAGCTTACGATAGTTGGCTTGAATGGTGGCGGCACTTGTCGATTCTCAAACCGCTTCCAATCGACACCACGGAAGAAACAATGTTGTCGAATTGGACCATCCGGGCATTCCGGCATTCCAAGACGTGTATTTGGGTTACGATCAAACAACGCGGATAGGCATTTCGCAGCTTCTTTGGAAATGGTTTTTGGGAAATACGGTCTCTCATTGAGAATCGAATCGAATAGTTCATCTTCTCCTTCTCCATGGAATGGCGATTGTCCCACCAACATCTCATACATTAAAACTCCGAACGACCAGAAGTCAACAGCTTCGTTGTAGAGTTGTCCTTTGATGATTTCCGGACTAATGTAGTCTGGAGTTCCGCAGAAAGTACTCGCCATTCCATTTTCTCTGTTCATTTCCGTCTTGGCCATTCCAAAATCTGCGAGTTTGATGTGACCATCACAGTCCAGAAGAACGTTATCCAATTTGAGATCTCTGAAAAGGCAGAAATTACGATTAAAGACTTTTGCTCAAACTTCCTAACAAAATTACTCAATTCCTCAATTCGTAAAATCTGGAATAGAAAGACCTCTAACTTTAACTTTGAGACCGTATATCTCTACTGATAAAATAAGTTTGATATTTTGATAAAAATGTTATCAGTTGACAACTTTTTTATATCTCTCAGGGAAACCGAGATAAATTGGCTCAAAGTTGAAATTTAAGGGCCCTTCGCTTAAAGGTTTTACTTTATGAAAACACATTTCTACTCACCGATAAATAATATTGTTGGTGTGAAGGAACTGAAGAGCCACTACAATTTCACAAGCATAGAATCTCGTCCTGGCTTCATCAAACTTCTTGACTTGTTGGATATGATGCATCAAATCACCACCATTCAAATACTCCATCACAAAGAATAGATACTCCTGTAATAAGATTTTGGTTTGAAATTTTCTATAGGAATCTCAAACTCACATTGGTTTGGAATGAGCAATAAAGTGGCAGAGGAATGGACATTGACTGGCAAGGATCAGAACTCGTCGTTCGATATAGGTGCATTCTGTATCATCATCTTCCAATATCACATCTTTCTTGAGGCACTTCATTGCATAGAACTCATTCTTTCCTTTCAATTCCACTAGCATAACCTTTCCAAATGATCCTTTTCCGAGAACTTTGAGCAGGTTGAAGTGTGGAAGAGCGAATTTCTTAACTGGACCATCTCCTCCTCCCCAGATGTTATCCATGTACTCATCTGTATCCTTCTGTTCCTCCACACTGTATTGATGAGATTTGAACAGGTTTTTGAGCTTATTCGGCAAACTTCCATTGCTCTTTGTGTCTCCATTAATATGTAGATTAGCAATATTCGGAGGACAACTAGCCGTCGCATGAGTACCTCTCTTGATTTCGTGATACATCTCACTGAGCTGCTTTTGATTCACACCGCACAAGTTAGACATGAGCTTCTCGCATTTGTGATGACACGCCACATTACAAACTGAAATAGACTTAGTTCGTTATTCTGAGGTAGTCAGAATTGATAAGGAAGGTGGGGTTTATAATAAAAATAAATAACTCACCGTCACATCGAAGTCCTTGTTTGAAAAGACCGTAAAGCATTGAACCACAGTGATCACAGAAAGTGGGACTTTTGAAGTTATAAGTCTTGAATCGATGCGGAATATCAACTTTGAATCTCTCTTTTAGAGCCTGAAAAGATGAAAATTACAGATACGTAGTCAAAAATTTTAGCTTCTCTGATCTGATCTTATCGTTCAGAGAAGTATCAGGTTACAAAGGAGTAACTAAAAAAGTGCAAAAAACTTCAAAGTTCCAAAATTTGAAGTACTCCCTTTATAGCTCTCGGCCTATTTCAATAATGAGCAATTCACGTGTCAGCTGTTCCCTCTCCTTACGACACAGGCTATAATTTCTCGTCTAGGCAAAGAAAACACACTTATTGACTCAGATGTATAAATATAGAATAGTGTGAAAAGAGGATGAACAAGTACAGGTGTCAGAGACTATATTTGGAAGTATTTGGGTATCTAAGTTCAACATCGTTTGAGCTCAATGGATGAGCTCAATGGAACGACTGAAATAACGTATTTCCTCTAATAGATGCCCATTGAGCTCAATTATCTCAGCTGCGATAAGAGATATAAAAAAAGTTGTCAACTGATGAAAAATTGGTGATACTTTGATAAACAATTTATCAGTTAACGAGTTTTTGATATCTTTTACAGGAATCGAGATAACTGAGCTCAAAGTTGAAGCTTCGGTGGGCTTGAAATACGTTATGTTATGGGTATAGGTCTTATTTTGAAGCGATTTTTCTTTTGAATTCTCTCATCTTCTTGGAAAAATCTTTAGAAGTATGATTATATAGTATGACTATATAGTTTCTTTTTTGAACATTATTTTCCCACCCAAAGGTATCCAAAAGTTTCAGATTTTCCAGTATACACCTGTAATAGAAGAGCTCTCACACTGTGAAAAACCAATTTATCTTGGTTCCTCTGAATGATATCAAAAAATTTCGGCTCTTTCCGGGAAGAACGGTCCCGAAGCGGGATCGCCGGTCCCATCATCGGACCACCGGTCCCAAGAATTGTGACAACGGTCCCATTGTTTTGACAACGGTCCCATTGTTCCGATAACGGTCCCAATGTCCTGAGAACGGTCCCAATGATCCGACAAAGGTCCCAAGGGTACGACAACGGTCCCAACCAGGCTTAATCTGGAAACCCTATTCCCGAAATACAGAAAAAACGGAATGGTCTTTTAAAAATCCAGTGGAAAATTTAACGTTTTACTTATCCTTGGTAATTTCAGTACTTTTTGACAAGAATTGTTCACAAAATATTATGTTTTTTGTATTGTAGGCTTAGGCCAAAACGCCTTTTTCCGGCACTGATGTGAACAAGGCGTTCTAGTTTAAGCCTATAATTGCACTCCGAAAAATTCCAGTAAAAAAATGCTGGAATTCTCAATTATCAGCAAAACGATCGTTTTTGTTGCTGAAATGTGCTTCTTAGTTGAAACAAAAATTACAATTTCCGATGTTTCCAATAGGATTTCCAGGTTGAGCCTGGTTGGGACCGTTGTCGTACCCTTGGGAACGTTGTCGGAACGTTGGGACCATTGTCGGAACGTTGGGGTCGTTCTCAGGACATTACGACCGTTGACGGAACAATGGGACTGTTGTTGCAATTCGTTGGGACCGGCGGTCCCGCTTTGGTACAGTTCTTCCCGGAAAGAGCCAAATTTTCAACTGATAAAATGTTGATCATAATATCATCAACATTTTAATAGTTGAATGACTTTTTCTATCTTTTATAGGAGGCGAATTATGTGGGCTCAATGTTGATGGCTCGGAGCCCTCCTTTTACAGGTTTTACGGAGTTTCTCATTTCCATCCCATTCCCAATGTCTCTTTCAACCAGTGATTTTTCTCATCCCTTACCATAGTCTCCTTGGTGTTTTTTGCACTTCCAGGACACTGCATAATCACTTTTTCATGGCATTTCTTGTGCACAGCAGCGGAACACAGTTGACATTGATATCCTTGTTTGTTGAGTCCCCACATAAAATCAGAGCACAACGAGCAAAAATGTGGCTGTCGGAAGAAAGTGGCCACGAATTGATGGCCTCGAATCTCATGAACGCGCGCATGTTTTATCGCTCCTGGAAGAAGATGAAACTATAATAAAACCATAAAACAAGTTTGTTTCCTACCTCTACGGCGTTGAATTCCAGGACCTGAGTTGCTTCGGGATGTCATGATGTCCTCTACAGGGTGATCGTCATCCGCTAGAAGAATTTGATATATTTGATAAGATGATGATGAACAAGTTGCTTCGTCTTTTTCTTTCTAGAGCAAAACCCTAGGCCAAAACTCAAACACAGAAAAAGATTAGAGAGAAAAAAAAAGAAGTGGGAGGAGTCATTAGTTTGAGGTTCTTCTCCAAAAATCGAAATGAACAGAAAAATGGTTAAGTTGGCCAACGAAATGCCCTGATGGAAACAGAAACAAAGACGACGTAGATGTTGTGTGCGTCTCTTTCCTCTTCAGTCTCTTCAGATGTAGTCGTCGCAAAATTAAGAAGCGCAAAACATTTAGAGAATCGGTCGACCGAAGGAAACTTCGAATAGTGTGCTAATTAGAGAGAACATAGACGACGAAAAATTACGAAAAACCGGTTGACAATTATACACTGTGATATATAGATTCTCTGCTGACGTCATCAGTTGTGATGACCCCTGTTTATTTGGTTGGAAACGGGAGGAGAGAGACCAGCTTTTGGGCGAATTTCGAACTTCTACTATAAGGACTTTTGTTTTATATGTCGGTTGTTTAATCAACGATGAGTGTAGAAGGTGAAACAAAAAATGATGTCAATTGCAACAAATCAGAAATTCAAATAGGAGGTTTGCTTTTCTTCTGCAACTACCTGCATTTACCTTTTGATTCAGTAGAAACCGAATTACGAATCATTTTGAGAACGTCAGTCGACTAAAAAGAAAATAGGAAGAAGAATGAATCGTTTTCTTCCCTCGAGTAGGCAACGATACGATCTGTGGCATTGACCCTTACACTGGGAGGCAGCATGACCCTTTTTAAACTTTACAATTTCAGAAATGGGTTAGAAAACCGAAAAGGAAATGTGATGATTTGATTGGAAAGTTCAGAATTCTCAAGGTTCAAGTGATATTTGGAATTCAGAAGGTGTAAATGCTAGATGTTGCGTGAATGTACACCAGAGATGTCCGGATGCTGGACACCGTATTAGGAACTTTGAGAAAATTATTATATTCCAAGTTCAGTTTCTCAAAAAAAGTCATTCCAGACATCTCTGTTGTATACCTACAGTTTCGGGCAACAACATATAGAAAAACGCGTTTTTCAGTTGATTTTGACAATTTTCAGGAGTTTGGAGCTCGGCGGTGTTTTAAAATGATGATGAGTTTTAAAGCTTGAAATCTGGATGTTGTTTTAGATAACGTAAAACCTGTATGAGAAAAACCCCTCTAAAAAGGAACGGTCATTCTATAGAAGGGCCGTTCCTTTTAACACTGGTAGAACGGTATTTTCATGGCAGGATTCTAGGGAAAAACCAACATTTGAAAACACACAGCTATCTACTTGAAGAAAAAGGAGAAAAAACAAAAATTCAGAGATTCGGACAACTGTATTTGTATCTACTTTGAAATCAAGATAACAGTCTGTTTTTAGTCTTGAATCTGGAAAACCCTATGCCTCTGAGAATCTGATTATTGATGTTTTCTGAACGGTCATGACGCATATCTCTAACCTTTCAAAAACAAATCTGAAGATTGTTTTTGATCTTCGCGGTTTTTTCGGTCGTCGTTACCACGCGAATCCGAAAAACGTCATTTTCTACCAAATTACCCGACAAAATAACCTAATTAGAGAATCTGGAAAGTGACAAGAAGAAAAGTGTGAAAGGTTGTGGCGGATGGCCCAAAGGTTGCCAAAAATGCAAATTAGAAGCGACAGATTTTGGGCAGTGGGAAGAAGAAAATGGTGGCTCCGAGAAAATGAAGAAAAAACGAAGAAGAAGACGAAGTAAGGAGAAAAAATGGAGAAGACGAATTGAGATTTGCATACTTGTGTGACCAGCTTACCTCTTTCAGGAAAGGAGAAGCAAGTTTTGGAGCAGCAAAAGAAGAAACGCATCATTCGGGGGAAGGATGAAAAAGTTTCAAAAGGTCGACGAAGGAATGGAAGTCAAAACGAAACAAAAGAAAAGTTGGGCTCCTTCTCTCTTCTACAGTTTATTGAATTCGAGGAATAAGATTTCAATTAATTCTGTAGACGACGACCTTTTCTTCAGGTTCATGCGACGGACGTCTTCTATCTTTATTTGTTTTTCGCTATTTCTTCGTCACAGAGGACAAAACGAAACAAATGAAACCAGAAGCTGTAGAAGACGTTCTGGTTGATTCTTGGGAGCGTTTTTTTTCGGATGCTGAATAATGGAATATGAAGAGCCAGAGTCGTAAAAATCACCGAGACGAATGGCCGAATGACAAGCTCAAGGTTTTTTTTGAGTCATAATAATAATAATAATAGTCATGGCAATCATTTTGAGCAATTATTCCAAATAATTTGGCTGGAATCTGAGCGCATGGTAATGATCGGAAATATTATGTCTGTTTGATATTTGGAAAAGAATTCAAAAGTTCAGAATCTAAATTGGATTGGAAGAGGATTCCAACTTTCTTTGCAAGAAAATGTGCTCTTCTCGAAATGGGGGATCACATAGCAATGACGTGGTGATTCTGTGCAAGAACCAACACCTTGGCAGGAACTGACTTTGATCCGAAAAAAGAAAACTATCTACGTAGATAAGATAGCACTGTTTCTGACCTGTGTGTTCGCTAAATATTGCAAAGTTCAGAGAATTATGTCCAAAGAAATCAAAGAATCTTGGTAAGGAATTAGCGAATGAATCTAGAGAATAAGCTTTCCATCTCGGATAGGCCGTCCGAAAACAGTACCCAGACAGTTTAACGGGCTGGCCGACCGGACGGCGGGCGGGTGACGGGCGGGCGACGGGTGGGTGAAATTCGCTCGAAATGAGAAGCTTAATAGAAAGCGTTGCTAATAAAATTGCTAGCAGACTTAGGTAAGAATCAGTAAAAAAGAAGAATTTGATTCTAAATTGTATTTTCAAAGGAAACATCGCTATACAAAAAAGATTGAAGTTTGGTTTTTTTTTCTTGAGAACCGAAAGCGATTCTAATGCAAATCACGACAACATATTGTTCACAGAAACACAATAGCCGTGTGAAATTTTGGTCTCACCACCCAGGTATAACTCACGTGCATTCTTCAGATGTCTTGTTTGAGCCAAAATCCGTCCACTTGGCTTAGTATTGATCCAGATGTGTGTGATCGCGTCGCTTTTGCATTTCGAGATGATATCCTGGAAACAAAATAGATTGCAAAAGAACTGATTGGAAAAAGAAAAGGTTGGTGGTTTCCCCGTGATTTGAGTATGAGATGATGTCGAAAAGAAGGAGAAGAAGCGTTGACTAGAGAATACACACACATGGGCATGCGTATGTTTTTCGAACCGAAATTCAATTTCAACTCTCCCGCGCCGTTTTCGACTCCTCCGTTTAGAAGACCTCTCTTTTTCCATACATCCCGGAGTCAGTTTTGAGTTCTTCCGAAGCATAAAAATAACGGAAGTCCAAGGGAAACGATGAATTATTACTCCTAATCAGACATCACTTATCATGAACGACGAAAACATTGCGTGATGGTGGGCAAAAGAGAATCAAATTTGAGATAGTGATCAGGTCAAAAACAGATCAACACCTATTTGGTGAATTCGTTTTTTGTGGAGATGATGATTTTGCGAAAAAGTAGAAAAGACTTGGAGATTCGATTGGAGATGGATTATTTTTATACATTTCAAGAACCTAATTAAATGATATCAGAATCAATCATAACTTGGAAACAGCTTCGGAATTTCTTGGTGCGTAATTTCGCGTCATTTTTAATAATCAACCTAATATTATGGTGGTATGAAGAAATCGGAGCTGTATAAAAGAAAAGCTTGTGGACATCGCCGAAGGTTCCACAACGACAACTACAGTAACCTAAAAATATGTTTATCTTTCGGGGTTTTTCTCGTTACTTTTTTTCTTGAAAAATTTAACCATTCGAAAATTAAAAGTCGAAAATCCGATAAAACCCGGAGAATTGAAATACTGCTAGGTTACGGTAGTTGTCGCTGTGGGACCTTCGGCCATGTAAACAAGCTTTTATCTCATACAGCTCCGATTTTTTGTACCAGAATAAAACCAATAAAATATATATCCAGTTAAGAAGGTCTGAATTTTCGCTCAAGTTTGAAAATTTCAAAAAGGTGCTCAAGACGTTGAGCTGGAAATTTTCTAGTTGGTACGTTCTCAGAATGTGAGCTATGTACATTCCTTTCAACAAAACAAAACAAAAAAGGGGAAATATTCTGGATACTCGAGAAAAAGGAAACAAAAAAGGGTGTAAATGTCGTTGTCTCCATGAGAAACCATTGTCTTTTTCTTCTTTTCTTCTTTCTTCTTTCATCCTTTCCTGTGTCATGACGTCAAATACCATAGAGACTACGGTAGTTTATGAGTTATGAGTTATAAGCAATAAACGGAACGTACGGAAACCTAAACGGGAAAAAAATATGAAGGAAATGGAAAAGAAGAAGCATCTCCTTTTTGTGCGGAAATATGAAAACGAGGCGAAATTTCGATGAACAAAACATTGCCCTGAGGCGAAAAAAACTTGAGTTCTTCTATCTTTTTTGAGTAGGAGAAGAAGCCCGTCGTCGCGCAGGTTTATGAAAATCGCCGCCCCCGTTTTTTGTGTTTTCCGAACTTTTTCTTCTTTTTTTTTGTTCACTACTTTTTTTTGTCTGCACAACACAAACAGCATATCAAAAACGGAAAACTAGAAAAGAGCGAAAAAGGACTTGAAGAAGACACGGATAAGCGATGAATAAAAAGAAAAAGAGGGTCCCGAGTAGGTTCCCGAGGGATATCCAATCTTAGAAGAAGAGCAACGAAGTTGTCTGCTTTTTGCCCTTTTGTTTTGGAAAATATTTTGGAACGATACAATTATCAGTTTTCTATAAAATATATAAAAAACGTATTAACTGATAAAATATTGGCAATATCATTCTTATAATAAATAAGTAAAGTTGCGTCTCTTTCACTGTGGATTTGTCCACACATTTTTGAAAAGCTTGAAAATTTAATGTAAATTGACGTGACCCTATAAAAAATGTAGAGAGGAGCGAAGCGACGAACAGTAAAATAAATAGGTTACTTGCGCCGAAGACGCACCAGCCAGCTGTTTGAAGCGCCGGAGGCGCGGCAAACTCGCTGGTTATGATTAAAATTTTGTTAGTTGACAAAATTTTGATATTATTCACAGGAATCGAGATAAGTGAGTTTAAAATTGACGATTTAGAGTGTGCTTCATTATCCCTTTTTCATATTTTAGGATATAACAAGTAGTGATTTTCAAAAGTTTTAATTTTGGGAAAAATATTCAGAAAGTGTTAATATTTCTGGTATATTTGTTGAAAAAACACGTTGCTCCCAAAAACTTAACGGTCCATCTTTTGGAAGATTCAAAAGATTCACGTGTCTCACAAAAATTTTTGAAATTTCAGTACTTTGATGTGAAAATTAAAACTTTTGAAATTCACTACTTGTTACATCTGTAATAGAAGGGCCCCATGTAACTTTGAGTCAATTTTTCTAAGTTTCTGTCAAAGATATAAACAAGTAGACAACTGATAAGTCATAATGTCAGAAATGTTTTGTCAGTTGACACATTTTGATATCTTGCATATGAATTGAGATAATTGAGCTGAAACTTGATAGTGTGAATGATTTTTTAATACAGTTATTACGGTATTAGGAGATTGCTTCCAAAAAAAAATTGTCATTGTTTTTCCTATGTAAAATACATCATCCGAAAGTTTAAAATTTAAAAAGTTGCACAGATGACTACGGTAGTTTTGTTTTCCCGACAAATGCAAAATGAAAAAAAACTGAGATCAATCAAAATCTGAACATTTGCTCACCTTAATAAGTAGACTAATCGCTTCATAGATGTCGTTCAGAACTTCGGTCATCTTTAAAGCAAAGTCGAAAGAAGACGTTTTGAACCAGAGCAAAAAGGAGCAAAACCAAAAAACGAGAACCAGAAATCTAGGAGAGCCTCCGGAAACTGGTGAGGTCACGCCCACTGGTTGAAACAGAAACCGGTGGAGAGGAATTTTCAGAAGTGAAGTCAGATTTGGAATCGGTTAGAAAATGGGGGCTCACATGGAGAGGGATAATTTGGAAGTGGATTTACGACGAGGATAAAGAAGACAGCGAGGCGAAGAAGAGAAGAACAACTGACTATAGGAACGACAAGAATTCAACTCTTAAAACTTCAGATATAAGTCACTAACATACTTTGGTCTCATTTAGAACCATTGACGTTTTCAAATCCTTTAAAATATAATAATTGACAACTGGTTCAAAATAATGTGATACTTAAAAAATTGAAGAAAGAAAATCATCGTCATCTCCGGTGCTTCTTAAACTTTCAAACATCAGAAATCCCTCAAAAAAGAGGGGGTAATAATTCGTGACGACTCTTTTCTTGCTCATAAAATCTGGTGAAGCTGAACAAATCGTCCCGGGATGTGGACCAAGAGCCAAAAAAAGAAGGAAAAAGAAGAAGAGAGTCAGAAGATGTTGCCCTTCTGAATTCCCATTGGGACCATTTTTTCTTATTCAACATATATTCCCACATCTTAACCCAACACATACTTCAAGTCTCATCGTCGCTTCAACAACCGGTGTATTGTTGAACATGAGCACTATTTGGAGTATCCGTCCTTCTGCAACTGCCGTGTCCCAACACTTTTCCCATTCCGGGTAGAGCGTTTTCTTCTTTTGGACTAGTCGAGATTCTCCTGAAAAATTGGGAGAAAAAATTCCTGGCTAAATTTCATTTTTCGTACTGATGCATTGAAATTTTGCCTTCAAATGTGTTGCAGCCTTATTGAGATGAAACACTTTAACTCAACGACTCAATAAGTAAAATTTACCTAACAATTTGGACTCCCGAATTTTCGACCAAAGTTTTAGTGCGGATTTTTTTTCAGGAAGGATTTCAAATCTCATATGAACTAGGCAAACTTAAAACAGCATATGATTTTTTAGCAGTATTAGAAATCCTTTTGGATTTTTCCATTTTTCAGAGCATATCATTTATATTTAAAATTTCAAAAACCCCACCATTAACTTCAATTTTCTCTTTAACATTCACAGCTGGTTGCAAATCAGTTGGAGAGCATCCGGCTGGAAGTAAGTCCGTAGGAACGTCCGCTCGAAGTAATTTTAGTCTGCAAATGGAGGATTCTTGATTGAGAGAAAAAGTGTATAAAGGAGAAAAAAGGGTTTGAATGTGCACTTTTTTGCATTGGATGGATTGGACAAAGGGAAGAAAAATGAAGGGAAGAATTTGAGGAAGTTCTTCTTCGTTTTTTTTGTTAAAGACAAAAGGGACACTTACTGCTGCTGAGAGGTTCCCGTTGTGTTTTCAGTCTCATCACTGCAATCTTTTTTGGTGGGATTTTTTAAAGAATCCGAATACGGTTTTCAGAGAAGAATAATTATTCAAGTTCAAACCAAGATAACTTTAAAAGCACTCGAAATCGTTTATGATGATTTTAGCATAATTGTTCTACCAAGGAACATTTGCCGATTTTGTGAAACATTCGAGCTTTTTTATCTTGAAAAAATGTATCAGTTTTCACAATATTTTTGACAAACTTTGTAGATCTCAACTGCTCATTTATAACTAAATGTTTAAAATTTTCCCCAAAAAAGAGTCAAAGATTTTAACAAATGCTATCATGCTTGTATTAAAAATCAGAGCTATGGAAGTGGAAGGTTTGTGGGCGTGGCCAACGATCCTCGTAACGAAAACTATCGTAGCCTAAAATTTTCGGTCATTTTTTCTCGATTACTATTACTTTTCAACCAATTTTGTGTTGAAAACCTTCAATCAAGTCGAAAAATAAGATTTTCTAAATTCAAGAAATTTCCGAACAACGAACGAAAATCGAGAAAAAATATGAAAGGAAAAAATATTTACTGATTATGGTGTTCGGCCGTGGCCGCGGCCACCAGCTTTTCTCTTCCACAGCTCCGATTTTTGCATACCAGCATAATAACAGTGCTGATAGAATTTTTTTTTGAAAAAGTAACATCTCAAAAACTCAAAAAAACTCACCGACATGCATTTTCCGCTTGAGTCATCACGAAATCCGCTTCCAGTGATGTCTCACTCTCAGGAGGCGGATCCAATGAGAATATATCGATAGCCTGGAAAATAAAAAGTAAAGTTTAAGAAAAAAAAAGAGTTAGGGGGAATCCTTTTTAGTGCACTTTTTTCTTCTTTTCGTCTAATTATCTCTCTCTCTCTCAAAAAGTGCTCAGTGACACTCTCCACTCGTTTTGCACAACTGCAGAAAAGTGAAAAAAGAGCATGTCAGACCACAAAAACGTCATGTCGAAAAATGAAAAAAGAATGAGAAAAAAAAGGCGAGAAAACTGGAAGGAAAAGGGGCAAAAGAAGCAAAAAAAAAAACCAAAAACGACCCCTAACTCCTCGTTAAATGTATTATCTTCGAATTTTCTGGAAGGGTAGTACTCTCTACTCGGGGTCAAAAACGACAGAAAAAGGGTGGAGAGAAAAGGAGCTCTCTAGGCTGAGATTTACGAAATGTATGAGGTCCTTTTTTCGAGTAGGATACGAAAAAAAACAAAACACTTGAATTGAAAATTGATGGAGAAAATCGCAAACTTGAATAGAAAATAGGTTAGTAATCCATTTTTCAAAGGTAATCGAAACGAATGGAAAGTAAAAAGAATGGGAAAAAAGAGAACTGAGATTCTATAATTAGGTAGAAGGAGACAAGGGGCTTAATTGAATTTTGTGGGCCATTCGGTTTCCCAAAAATGTGATCGTCATTGTAGACATTTTCTAGTTATCACTGAGTCATCATTCTTTCTGGGTGGCTCAAAATCGAATTGATAAGAACACGCGACAGCGGCGGCTCTCCTCTTTCTTTTTTGTTACAGTCTGTTTTTTCCAACTATGCCAATATTATTTCAAACTTTCCCTGATCAATTGAACAAAGGAGTATTTATCAGCGACGTCAATTATTGATGGGTACGTTTTGGGTTAAGAAAACTAATGGTGGGAGTAAGAGTAGGAGAATCGGAGAATGAAAGAGAAACGGAGATTACTGATGAAACGTATGCAAATAGCAGAAACAGCGGCAATCGAGACACGAACAGTTGTTGGCAGTGAGGATGGGTTGAACGGCGATTGTCGATTGTCAAACGAATACTACGAAGAAGTGAAAGAAGGAGTTTTAGTAGAAGATGATAGAGTGGAGGAAACCAACAAAGAGACTACAGGGCGACGAAACAAGGAGAAAAAGGCTGGAACTAGTTCATACAGGTAAGGAAAAGAAGAAGAAGAAGAAGAAGGACGAACAACAGAATACGTCCTTAATTAGAAATAGAGAAAAAAAGAAAGAATAAGAAGAAGTTTGAGGTTTATTAGTTTGATCAGTTTAAGAGGGATTTTTAGTCTAGGCCTGAAATCTGAACAAACCCAAAAAAGTTTAAAGAAATTAAAGTCGAAAAAAATGCTGAAATTTGTGAAAATCAGCCAAAATGTACCATTTTTCGTTGAACTTAAAAAAAACTTTTTTTTCATTGCTTAACCAGCACTGTCGGGCAAATTCGAAACTGCCTTTGTGCCAAATATTGTGCTTAGACACCTAGTATTTTTAGAGTAGCGCCAATTATTGTCATATTTTTCAGTACCACATGGCAATTCGGCTTCAAAGGACTTTTCATTGCTGCTACGGTGATATTTTTGTCCTACAACATTCTATCGAGTGAGCTATTTAATTAAATCAAAACTTTTTGAATTCGGCGCTGAAACTTCGTTGTCCCAGTAGAAGGGAAATAAGGCGTTTCAGCCTAAGCCTATAATTTTATAAAAACATCAAAAACATTGGGAAAAAAATTTGAAACAGCGAAAAATGTGAAAATATCTCTGATTTTCGCGAAATTCGGAAGTTTTTTGTCTGCAATTATTTTTCGAAATTAACAGTTTTTGTTTGAAATAATTATGCTTAGGCTGAAGCACCTAATTTTTTTCCAATAGCGGATCCTATTAATTAAAAAAAGCACAAACATCATACTGGCCATCTGTCAATTTCAGTGACCAACCCCCGCCCGTCTCGTTTCTCGATCATCACCAAAATGGCTCCTCAACACTGCGGTCTCAATTTGCCTGCGAGAATCCAGAATTTGATACTCGATGTAAGTGCTCCTCCGTCTCTTTTTCCATCTACTACTCGCTTTTCTCATCGTTCTAACTGACTTATTTATTGTCCCAGAAACACAATGAAATTCGCTCAAAAGTGGCTCTCGGTCAATATGATGTGGATGATGGTCATCTTCCACCAGCAGCTAATATGCCGAAATTGGTAAGTGGTCTCAACAGGAAAGAAGGGGGTTACTGCAGTTTTATAGATGTGGGATTGCCAACTAGAGCTTGAAGCACAGAATCGTGCGCAAGAATGTAATCTTGGAATGGAGAAGTTGACAGAGGAAATGGCTGGATTGGAGGAGGTTCGAGGAGAGAATGCATTCTATTTTCGAACCGATTCGTTGGACTATTCTGATGCGGTTGTGGTAATTTTTTTTTGAAAAAAGAAATCTATAAATTGTAAACTAGGTCAAATAAGGCGTTTGACCGCACATTTTCTTTTGAATCTTGGTTTTGTCATCTTTTTCTTTTATAAAATGATGTTTACTTTTCAGAAAGGAATCGAGAGAATGGGTGATGAAATTGCTATTGCTGGAATCAAACAGTTGAGAATGGACCGTTACGACAAGCGAATTGGGCACGCGACACAGGTACAAAGATCTTTCAGAAAATGTTCCCAGAAAATGGTTTTTTTATCAGATACTGTGGGGAGAGACAAGAAAACTTGGATGCTCGGTTCAAGAGTGCGCGGCTCGATCCGATGGATCACTTGAAGGACAAAAATACAAAGTGGCTGTTTGCAAATACTATCCAACGTGAGAAACTTCTTCTCGAAGAACTTTTTATGGGATTTTTGGGTTATGAAGAAGGATTCCAGGGGTCGAACTGATGTGGTATGCGGATGCGCTCTAATGAGAAGGGGCGGGGCAGCGTTTTAGGCTCGGGAACCATCAATTTGAGATGAAACACCAATTAAAAATTTTGAAAATTTTGAATTCTTAACGACCTAAAACTTCGGCCCGTCACTTTCTCAATAAAGCGCAAAAGCATACCACAGCAAATCGAATCCTGTGAAGGATGGGAATGAGTAGGACGGGTGGAGAATAAAAAAAGAAAAAAGTCATTTGTGTTCAGTGGGAAAATTTTATATTTACACAGCTCAATATATTCGATATGTTGAAAATAATATGTAGGTCGTAAAGGTTTTTTTCGGAAATTAAACATCTGTCAAAAATTGAGATTCCAGATGTGTCCTAGAACAGGGATACTGTAGCCTCTAACTATTGAAATTCCAGCGGTAACGTCTTCAAAACATCGACGCCTACATCGATCTACACGGTTGGAGACGTTGGGAGCAGTTGCTCGGAAGGGACATTCATTGACCCAACAAGTGGTTTATGTGTTGAAGCCACGTGGCATGAGAGAGCAAAAGAAGAAGAAGAAGAAGACGCCTTGAAAAGTCAAGGCGTCTACAAGCGTATTGATCAGGATGCCAATTGATGGGACCTAGAACTTTTGCTGATTAGAAAAATAATAATCGTATTGAACTTTTTTCAATTTTTTTTGGAAAAAAAAGATTGAATGTGTGTCTGAAAAAAAAAGATGGTGGAAAAAAGTGAACTTGATAGGCTAAAATGATGTGAATGAAGAAATAAATGGGAATGCGTTTAGAGAGAAAAAGAAAGCGCTGAATAGAAATTGACAGCAATTTTGTAGGCGTCGAATAGATTCGGCGGCGCCCGTGAGCAAAAAAAGAAGGAGGAGAAGAATGGAGACTTCGTTGACATGGCCTGAGGAAGAACACAAACAAATAATTCAGATGCATTCTGAGCAGATTGACTGCGATTTCCAGAGGCGTCAGGGCTCACCCAAGCTCATCGGTGCCCAAATTGCTGCTCGTTTAGTTGAGAGCATTTTTGGAGCGACGGGGAGAAGAATACGGATAGACATATACAAATTCTAGTGCTCCATTTTTTTTGTGGTACACCATATAATATCCATATTCTTGTCAAGACACGCGATATTTTACGATCGTCTCGGTTTGTAGTAGTCATAGTAGTCGTCGGGGAAGAAGGAGATAAAGGAGAAAAATAAATGATTAAAGGAGAGAACTTGGAGGCGTGGAGAATGGATTCTGAGAATAAAATTGATGACTAGTACTGGGTGGTTGTGCTTTGAGAAATGGGTTGAGATCGGAGAAAAATGAAAAATTAAGGCGTTGTTCGTTGGGGAAGCTGAGAAAATTGATTATAGGTTAGAATTGGGGAAATCTCATATGATCAAAATGGAGATTTTAGAGTACAGATAATGATAGTATGAGCTTTAGGAATGAGAAAAATTACAGATGTCCAGAATAATGAAAAGTACAATTATTTCAAGAAAGTTTTGAAACAGCTAATACCGTAAAACCTGTATTAGAAGGATGTTCTATTTTTCCGAAGTACCTCCGGAGAGCCCTTCTATTGCAGGGGCCCTACAAGTTAGAGGGCGCTCTTTTATATTTCCGGTAATTTTTTTCGAAAATTTTTACTGAATTATTCGGTGAATTTTTGCTCAAAATTCAGGAAAATCAATCAATTTCGATTAAAAAAGAAATTAACAAGTTTCTATGGAGTTGTCAATTTCCGGAATATTTTTCTTTAGAAGACTACTATTCTCTCTCAGATGGCCCTTCTATTAGAGGGGCTTTTTAGTTAAAGAATCCGTTCTAATGCATTCTTTAGAGTATATTTCTTATCATTTTTTTTAGATCGGAAAGGAACTTCAAAAGAATTTGGGAAAAATTCATCCAACTGGGATTGGAATCTTCTTTACGGAACTATCAATAAAACTCGAAACAATGAATTTCCTTAATAAACATCTTGAGACCTTAAGTTTAAGGTTTTTTCTTTCAGATTTTTATATTTTTTCCGGTCCTTCGAAACTCGATCTCCCACGATCCACCATATTTCTCGGTACAAAAAATAGAGGACGATCAGTAAACAAAGTATTAAAAAAGCGTGGGGGCAGTTTAGATTGATCAGTTAGAGGAGTAAATTGAAAACAATAAAGGCTTTTTTGATGATTGTAGGTGGGAGAAAAACAGTTGTTGTCTGAGAAGTGTATGAAAACAAAATGTGTGGTTTTCTAAATGTGATTGAGGGTTCTTTCGGGATATCTGAGGAGGTGATGAATGTTTTCGTTGGCCTTCTCAATTCAATCAAGAGAAATTGGGAAAAAGCGAGAGATGAAAAGGAACAGTTGTTAAGAAAAGGACATTATAGCATAAGAAGTGAAGGAAAAAAATAGAAAAAAGGATGAGAAAACTATAGGAGAATACAGGAAGGTGAGAGGGGGAATTCTCGGGGCCAACCACTAAATATACATACCACACACATACTCGCAACTGTCGGGGAAGGGCGCCCGTCGCAAACACAAGTGACAAACAGAGAAAAGAAGGAAAACCAAAACGAAAACGAGATGAACACGAAAAGTTTGCGATGGATGGCAGCAGCAGTAGTAAGTACCCGCACACCGTTTGGGATCTTCCCCTGGTTCCAGTGGTTTTCGATTCCCACGGACCCCCTACCACATGTGTTTTGAAAAAAGGGCGTGGGAAACAACTTCTTCAAAATAATTTTAATTGTCAAAACATGTGTTGTCTGTTTCCGATATCCGACGGCAATTTAGAATGAGAGGAATGAGAGGAGGAGGCGATTGGAAATTGAAATCCGATGGCGTTGCTTCTTTCGCATCTATATTTTTAGGGTGGTGGGCAAACCGGATTTTCATAAACAGAGAGAAAGACAAAAGAGAGAGAGAGAGAGAGAGAGAGAGAGAGAGAGAGAGAGAGAGAAGATAGGACCTTCTAGGTTAATGATGACGATATCGAATTTTAGGAGAGAAATAGAGAGAAAACGCCCACAAATAAATCAATTGTTTGTTTTAACTACTCGACCTCCCGAGATCGGATGGATGGGTGATGATGACAACCTTTTGAACTTGATATTTTTGTTGGGCTTCAGTTGGGTGTAATTTTTTGGGACTGATCTTCGATCAGGGACGTCAGGGACACCAAATGATGAGCGGGGAAAATAAAGATGTAGTTTTAAGAAAATATTTTTTCAGAACTTTCTTGGACCGGCCCGGATTGGTATGGCTTGGATTCACAGTCATTTTGTTCCTGTCTTTCCTTTTTTTAATTTGAAAATTCAGAATTTTTAATTTGAAAAACCCGAGTCGGGCCGCTCTTTGATTTTTCATGTATGCCATTAATCCTTTAAAAAAACTTCTGGCAGAATCCGGAAATCCGAGACCTGGATTCTGCAGATCATCATAATTTTCTTCTTGGACCTTTTTTAGCAAGAAAATTAAATATCAAAAGTCAGAAATAGTGTTTCACCTGTTCCGCTAGAGCCTTTTTTCGAGCAGATAAAACCTATTTGTGACTTATTTAGTAATAGAAAATAATCTGATTTATTCTGATTCAGTTTGATCCGATTCTCTCTCAAAAGCCGCAGGAAATGAAAATGGACAGAATCGGAAGTTGTAGTTTCCTGATCCTTTTAAAAGTGTCTGAATATGTGTCATATGAAGTAATCGATGTCTTCAATCAGATTTCAGGCAATTTAAGAAAGTGAGATGGTAGACCAAATCGTTGCATAAACCGATTTCCTTTTCACTAGTTTATTAATTAGTTTGACATCTTCTCACTTTGTGTTTAGCCTTATAGGGTATACATACATATAAAACGATTTCTTAATAAGTGTTTCTTAACTTTCAAGCAAAAATTCGGCAGTGGGAAAAAAGAATAGAAGAAGAAAAAAGCAAAGAACAAGTATAAACACATTGAGCACGTGCTCCCTCTCTTTTTTCCAAAGTGTTGGGTTCGAATCGAATTATCAGTTGAAAAAAGAAAAGAAAAAGAGAATGAGAGCCCATGAAATAAGGGCAAAAATGAGCAGAAAATGGGATATCCGGGGCGTTGAAATGAGAGTACTTCTCAAGATGAAGGGACGTATTTAAGGAGTTGAACTTTTTCTAGTCGCATGTGGAAAACCGGAAGAAGGTGCTCAAACGGAGAAACTGGAAGGTCTGGAGGTGCAGATTTTATAATTTATGATTTAAAGTTGAGACAGGCGCCGCACAATTACCCGGACTGATAAAAACGGTTACATCTCTAGACATAAGTATCTTTAAATCACGAGCCCAGTACAACGCTTAACTCGAGTTTTATGCAAAAACTTTAGTCCGGGTAATTATTCACCATTCTGTAGAGCTCTAGTACTAGAAGGGCATTTCGAATAAAAATTACGCAATCAACCTTACAGAGAGATTTAAACACAAGGTATCAAGTTGAACAATTGTTTTCAACAGTTTTTTCCTAAAGATCAAACATTTTATAAAGCTCAAAATAATTTGTGTAAGTTAAAATACTGTCACAATCGGAATAATCAACATTTTAGAAAAAAAATTGTATCTTACCATCGGATCGAATTTCCAGGATATGCATCCATAACTTCCAGGATATTCATCCATAACTTTTAGTACTGAAATTCTGATTAGGTGGAACCTAGGCGAAATTGAGTTTCTTAAAAAAGCACAAAAACCTTTAAAAACGAAAAGAACCTATTATTCCCATTCTTTAAAAACCTCCGGTTTTCATTATATCAAAAGTTCTCCATATTGATAAAATTGAATAGTTTCAATTGTTGGACACATTCTACTTTGAAACCCCCTATCAAAGAAAAAAGTTCAAAATGAATGAAAGGAAAAGTTCCGAACCATTGCCCATATCAAAACATTTAATGGTATTTATACGACCCTCCTGACAACCCCAAACTGGGAAAAACCATGTGGGCGGAGGTGTTTGCATTCACACAACTTCTTCTTCTTTTTTCCTATTCCAAAAAAAGAAAGATCTTAAAGTTCAATTTGAAGACTCCAGTCCTATTTTAGAAACTCGATTCGGGTTGGACCCTTCAAAATGAGGAGAGAAGGAAGAACTGAAGAGACATGTCTGATATAAGATGAAATGCGATCTGTGCTCACTTTGAAGAAAAAAACGATGAGATGAAAAAAGAAGAAAAAGAAGACGATTCGATTTTTTTGCAAGTGCAAAAGGAATTGTTTTTCCATTTGGCGTTCCAGTAAACATTCTCTAATGAACTCAAAGTTTAGAGTCGATTAATCAAAATTAGCACTTGTTTTTGTGGTCGTTACATTGGAATAATTGTTCCTAATGTGTCATAATGGGCCCTAGCTACAGTAACATCTCAAGAAACATGGATTTTGAACATTTCCAGAAAATTTCCAAAAATTCGCATTTGGAATTTCGGCTATCTGTGGAATTAAATACAACCAATATGTCAAAAATTTTGAAACTCACAATTCTGAAATTTTCGAACGGGAATTTTTTTTCAAAATACAACTTTTAGAACCCTGTAATAGAAGGGCACCCACACTATCAAACTTGAGTTAATTTTTCTTGGCAACAATAAAAGATGTCAAGAATATATCACATTAATAAAATGTTTTTGACATTTTAATAAACAATTTATCAGTTGATAACTTTTTTGAATCTTTCACAGGAACGTAGATAAATTGGTTCAAAGTTAGAAGTTAAGGGGTCCTTCTACCGTATGCACGGTATTTCTCCAAACAATAATCGCATTCTCTCTCGTACTAAATTCCAAAAAGTAACTGAGTAGTAAAAAGTAACACTTCTACCACTTCATTTTTGACATGAAACATATTTGATGAGATGTGACACAAAGTAGGTCGAATTGGAACGAGTCGTTTTGGAGGGCTGTCCGTTAATCCCGTGTATAGTCTAGTGACAAATGGACAGAAAAACGGAACCAAACGAAGAAAAAGAAGACAAAATTTTTTTCGATGGGAAGGTAGCAAATAAAAAATGCAAATGTGTCTCTATTCATTTGAGCGTAGAGAGCAAGAAAAATGCTGCGCGAAAGGAAAAAAGGTTGTGTGTCAAATATCGAGTGAAAAATAGGAGGGACCCACCTCATTTTGATTTGCTTGCAACAGACGATTCTTGACGCCGAACACACGGAGCGACAAGGCCAGCGATCGGAATTTCATCTTTCTCTTCCTGGAGATTCTTTTTTATTCCATCTGAAAATAGAAAGAGCTTGAAAATATTTGGATACTCGGTAAAAAGAGGATACTCGGTAAAGTTTGAAGTGGTTCATAAGAGAGTGGGAACTTTAGGAAAAAGAAAACAATTTGGAATTCAAACATTTGAAGATTCCGGAAAAAGGCAGAAAAAGATGCTTCATAGAATAGGATAATAGTAAAGGTATGAATCGTAAACGAATCTACCGTAAACACTCTAATAGAAACCCACCCGAAACACCAACTTTGAGCTCAATTATCTCGGTTCTTTTGAAAGATATGCAAAAAAGTTGAAAACAGATAAGTGGTTTATCATCACATCAGAAGTGTTTTGCTAGCCAACACACTTCTGATATCTTTCACAGGAATCGAGATAATTGAGCCCTAACTTGACAGTTTTCCTTTTATTACATGTTTTTAAGTAATTTAATTTTTGGAAAAGATCAAATGGGTCAAAATTGAAAAACATAATTTCATCAAAATAATAAAGCAATATTTTATGTTGAAGTTGTAAATTAGATTAGAGGGATTCTTGAAAAAGTTAAATGGCTTTAAAAGTTTATCTTAAAAATTGTCTGTAACTCATATCGATTAAATCAGTTTGAGTAATTCCAGTTTTGCAAGCTTATTAAACATTTTTGAATCACATAAGGCTTAAAATGTCCATCAAATATACCACACCAATTTTCAAATACCGTATCTCTAACAGAACGACTCCTTAACTTTTAACTTTGAGCCAGTTTATCTTGGTTCATGTGAAGGATATTAAAAAGTAGTAGACTGACAAAATATTTTTGATAATATAATAAACATCTTATCAGTTGCCAACGTTGTTTTTAAATCTTTCTCGGGAACTGAAATAAATTGGCTCAAAGTTAAAAGTCAGGGGCTCTTCTAATACAGATTTTACGGTTTATCAAGGAAGCATATTAATAAAAAAAGGCCTTTAAATTTAAAGTTAAACTTTGATTTTCAAAAAGAGAAAGAGACTCATGACGAATTGCAAGAAATAAGAGACTGCCACTTAGTTCGGGTTCTATAAATATTTATTCAGACTCCATATATGACACATATTTAAATTGCCACTTGTTCCCCCGTATTTAAACACTGCCAATTTTGAGAGAAATAAGACCCACTTTTAAAATGAGTGAAACGTAAACAATACTTTGAGTAGTTTTTTTTCTGGGAAGAGAAAAAATAGATAAATCTTTCTAGAAAAGACCTAGGATCAACGGAATGAAAAAAAAACGAAGAGAGAGAGAAAAAAGTGGAAAGAGCAGGGATAACACACCAGGAATAAAAAAGAGGAGTTTATGAATTTGGTCGTGGGAATTCGAGATGCGAGAGGGAGAGAAGAAGTGGTTATGACGTGGCAAATGGGATTGTAAATGTAAGGATAAATGCGTCACTGGGGGGAATGAGTGAAATTCAAAACTTTTACTCTTCCGAGGTGGTCTGAACCCAGAATAAAAACCCTATCAGGTTTTAAAAAGGTCATGAAAATGAAACAGATGGAGCAAAAGAAGATGAAGAAGAGGGAGAAGAGGGAGCTATTGAATTTTTGGGCTTGAATGAAGAAAGGCCGATCAGATAGCAAAATGCGTAATTGGAAAGAAAAAAGGAAGAGGTAGAGCAGTGTTGGGGAATGGGAGGACTCATTCTTCTTCTCTCTTCTTAAACGACGACGACGACGATGAAAATCGAAATGAGCCGTTGGTTTGAAGACACACACACAAAATTTTGAGGAGCGCGAAATTGCGAGGCAATAAGACGAAATTGGCCAAATTATTGGTCTCGTACACTGCATGTGTTTTCTTAGTTTCTCGGGTATTATCGTATATAAAAAACGAGAAAAGGCTTTTTGAGGAAAGATCTAGAAAAAGTAGATCGCACTAAAAAAACAAGAAAAGAAGCCATCTTTTCAGATTTATCACCTTGCCAACCAATTGTATTCTGATTTCTTACTTGTTAATACTAACTTCAAACTAAATTAGTTGTATATTCATAACCCCAAATTCTTTGAATTTCAGATGTTTTCCTTTTTTTGTTGATTTCTCCCATTGACAAGATTCTAAGTCATGTGCGTTGGAAAAAATAATGAAATGGCAAGTTGCAGAGAATAGACAAATCTGGGAAAGGGAGGAGGAGGCGGATAAGAAAAGCTTTGGATAAGGATCAGGATCAGAATAGGAAGAGAATAAGAAGGTGTTGGTGGTTTTTGAGTTCTTGATGTATACTCAATTAGCTTTATTTTTATGCAAGTTTCGATTTTCCTAGGTTTATAGAAGATCGAAAGTCTGAAGACATTCAATAATCGGTTATCGAGATTCCACAATTTAATTTTAAGGTGGTGAATTTTGTCCAAAAAAGTATGTATGTTAACATAGACATAAAGAAAAATTCCAAAAAAAAATCCTATCAGCGAAATTCCAAAAAAAAATCCTATGGCCAAGGGACTAGAAAACTCAGATTAGGCCGCCAGCCACCAGATACCAATTCGCTTTTTTCGATCCGGTTTTTCTCATTTTAGGATTTTTCTTGATTTTTTTTCTAAATTTTTAATGGAACCTATATACTTTTTAACACAATGAAGCGATGAAGAATTTCTCCACTGCTTTTGTTAAGAAGCAAAACTTCAGGATACAAAATATTTATTTTTGATGCTCCAGTTGTCGTATGTATATATTTTGGGAAAGTTTCAGTACATTTTTAAAATTATATTCTCTTCAAATCCAATTCTTTGCAAAGCTTTGCACAAAAGTGTAGCCCATCTACGTCAATCGCTTGATAATGTCTATTTTTGTGGCGTTTTCGCTATTTTAGGATCTAATTATACATTAAGGGATTTCTTGATCTGGACGAATCCTGATTTAGTTAGGCTAGGAATAAAAAATACGTCAATGATGTTTATGAAAACATCCATAAATGTTCCGGTAGACGAGGAGATAATCATTTCCAGATGCATATAATTATATGGTTTCTCATTAGGTTGTTTTTTTTCTGGCGTAGAAAATGTGTCGGGTTTTCTATCATCTTCCTACTGTAAGAGGCTCCAGATACTTTCTGGAAACCCATGTATCTAGAATCGAGTAACTGAATGAATGATCTGATCACACTAAACTAAATATTCTCCTGATTCGAAATGACAGGGTAGAAAAACTATTTTGCAGAAAATCACGAGTGAATGCGGAAAAAAGGAAAGCATGAAAAAAGTAAGAAAAACAAGAAAAAAAAATAGAGAAGACAAACTTCGTGAGAAGGTTTCAACTCTAGAAGAAGACGACGGAGTTGATAGGGAAGAGTGCGAGGCTCCCGGCCACCGAAAACGAGCCGTAAAGGGCGGGTGAAATAATTAAATTCTGTTCGGTGTGGTGCATTTTTGGCCGCGTGCACTGGGCTCCTCC